CTGCAGTGGCCGGGAGCTGCCACTGCACTCCAGTCTGGGCAACAGAGTGAGACTCCAACTCAAAAAAAATAAATAAAATAAAATAAAATAAATAGTACATCAAGATTTTTTTTGGTTAAAAAAACAGGATATGGTAGAACTTTTGGTTAACCTAAAAATATCTTGAAATGGAATATTTTGAAGGCCATGTTTCTCGCCCATCAGTTTTAGAAATGGGAGGGTCAGCATCATGCAGTGTGAAGTCCTTGTACCAGGAGGCAAAGATCACCCAATGCTGGCACTTGAAGGCTCCTTACTCATCATATGGCCCAAGCAGCAAATCAGACCCAGAGAGGGGAGTTAAATATGGCAGGGCTATGAGAGAAGCAGATAAACTAATGCTATTGGGCAATTGTTTTAGGTAATCCTTCATATGCTCTAAAAATATGAATTTCTTTCTGCAGAAAAAAGTAAACTCTAAAAGGCACAAATCACATGGTATCACCTGTCTGCTTGCAACATCACTATGGCTGCTTGGATACCTTTGTTGATGGAGGTGGTATCTTTAACAGCACCCCCAGGCCCTCCAGCCCTTGCTGTCTCATCTTGCACTCTCTCTGCTAGCCCCTTACACTTAGTAGGCTCTCTCTCCCCGCAAAGCACTGCCTGTGCTCTTGCCACTGCAGTTTGAAGTCTTCCCTCACTGCCCTGTAATGAACTCTTACTCAACCTTGGGGTCAAACTGTACTTTCCCTGGGAAGTGTTTTTCTGATGTCCCTGACCAGGTAAAATTTGCATGTTACAAGGTACTTGGTATTTTTCCTTTTTAGTTCTGGTCATAGATGCAGCTCTACATTTGTTCACTGGATTATTTAGCTGTTTATTCTTCCTCTCTGCTATCAACTCTAAAATAGTGGAGATGGTGCCTAGAACAAAATAGAAGTTCAATAACTATTTATTAGATGAATAAATGATAATCCGACATGAAAGTTGCTTACAGACTGTCCAGTACTAGCCAGGTTTGTGAGGGTTTCTCAAGCCCTGGTTTCAGGATGCTTAGTGTCCTGTGTAAGAGAGAGGTTCCTGCTGCTATGCGCTGAGGTCACCAGAGGTGTTCCAGAGTGCTCACCTGGATGCCTTGAGGGCCAAGATCCCTGAGCTGCTGTTTCTTTTTACAGTGTCTTTTTGCGCACCTACACAAACAGAGCCCTTACGTAGGTTTGGGGTTACAGAAAGCTATTTTCTGTTACACTCTATTTTGCATTGCCAAATTCAGTCTCCTACTTTATGGGGATCAGGGATTTTATTTGTTTTCAAAATGATATTAATTTTCTGGTATCTAGTGGTTGTACAAGTGTGTTTATTGGGTAATACGATTATAGTTGGTGTACTTTTTTAAAGAAGTATGTTATGCTTCAATATAAAACTTGAAAAGGCCTTAATAGCAATAATAACAACAAGAAGACTAAAAGAGACAAAGATTGAGAGAGAAAAACAAAAGAGAAAGAGAAATCAAAAAAGGGCAATAATAAGGAGGTAGTTAGATAAAACATTGACTAGCCACACTAAGGAAATATTAGAAAACAAACAAACAAAGGAATAAGACACAATTATAAGCATCAACAAAATATATTTTCAATATTCACCTATTAAATGAAAACAGTCCTAGAGCAATATATGAGTATATTTTGATCCTATAAATAAAAAGGGAAAAGTCTAAGCTATACAATCAATTGAGATTTACCAGTGTGTGAGTGTTTGCTCCCTGACTTTTTCTTCCACTCATACTCCCTATTTTAAAAAGTTATGTTTTTGCCTTTTGACCTTTTTAAAAAAAAAATACCTTTTGAGCTTTATAATTATGAAACAGAATCAAATTTGTTCCGTCTGCATGCAGTAAGTCAATTACTGTGACAACTGTCTTTGCAAAAGAGAAAGTTTACTCATAAGATGGCAAAGTGGAGAGGCAGGAGAATAGGCCTTAAACCTGCCTTCCCAAAAATGGGGTTTAAGGATATTTATGGGGTAAAAAAGCAGGGTGGTCTAAGTCATGGGGAAAAGCAGTGGAGGTAAGGAAAGTGAGGTAATCGGCGATCTGCTCACACATAGTCAAGCTTCATGGCTTCATTGTAGTCAAGTTTCATGGCTCTTCATAGCCTGCATGTTCAGAAAATGGCAATATTAGCATGATCTCGAGGAAGGAGTTTTTAACCCTCTGATAGCAAACGGTCATTTGCAGGCCCAGTTGAAGGATCAGTGATCTCAACCAACTTACACTGAACAAGAGTTGACTCCAAGTACATGAAAAACAACTTTAAGCAACCAAACCATAATGACCTGTAAGTCAGAAATGTTATCTGTAAGAAAGCTAGTGCCTTGCTTAGTTGTTTGACTTTTAGCTATAAGGGTTTTAAGATTGATTAGAAGTATGTGATTAAAAGAAAGCAAGGCAGGTTGAAGTTTGGTGGATTCAATTATACTAGCCCTGAGTTTCATGTCTTTTCCTTCCTTGTATACAAAACCCATAAAATAGGCCAGAGAGAGTGTTAGAACAGCTAGAGAAAGGAGAAGAGGTTTATTCCTAGGTCAGCTCCTCTGGAACAGAGAATGACAAGATTAGGTAAATATAGGGAAATTTACAACAGAGTCAGAAAGGTTAAAACCCTTCCATAATCAGGACTAGACCAAAGTGGGATGGGTAGGAGACGAAAGCAGGCAAGAAGAGAAGAAAGAGGTCAAAGAAACCACAATGTCTGGATGTTAGAAAGCATTTGAGGGAGTTTAGTGAGAGGCTGCTGAGCAGCTGTGGAATATCGAAGAATTGAAGAGAGTAGAGATGAAATTTTTAGAAGTGCGTGATGGGTTATAAAAAGGATTCCCTACAACATTTTTTGATACATCAGTGCTGAGATGAGCTTTTTGGATACCATTCTCTGCAGAGACTAGACGATGGCGGGGAGGGGATTTTCAGGAATTATTTAGCTCTGTGTAGTCTATGTATAAGCAATACCTAGACACAGGACTAGATGAGTATAAGTCAAACAGAATAGGAACATCCCTGGAAAAGAGCATGGAATTGGAAGTTGACAGATTACTTAATTTTTACCCATAAATATCTATACTGAAAGCATTTATACACAGCTCATGTTGCTTATATACAGAACTCATGCTACTTACATAATATTTAATTAAGTATAAAACCTATCACATGCGTATGTGAATTGCAGAATGAACAGCACTCCCTCTGCCTACATTGCAGGAGCCACTTGATGTCCAAGAGGAAAATATTGTCCTGAGCAAGGTCATTCTAGTTCTGAGTAGTTGTCCAGTAACTGGACTGCAAGTTTAAGGGTGTGGATGGAGAGATGGAGTATGATTTGTGAAGTTGGAGGTGTTTCATATATATTCAAAGGCTGTAGAGTAATCAAGATGACCTTCTTCTATTGTCCCACAGTGAATCAACAGAGATTGCTTAGAAACACACACACATCCACACATACACACATACCGCACACACAAAGAAACAAACACACTATTCCCTGCTCGTGTCCATTTACTCATTTATGTTTCACCAAACATACTGCCTCCTATGCATCAGGTTTTGTGGGGTTGTTTTGAACAGCAGTTTATTCCTCTACCTATTTTTTGCAATGTGTGTGTTAGAGTCTCTAGTTATAAAAGTCCACCCTAAGTCCTCCAGGCTTAGCTAAGTAATGGAGAAAGAAGTAGTTCTAATAGGTTGAATGAGTGGCCTGGGGGCCTAATTCTCCTGCCACACAGATGATTTTGGATATGGCTCACTTACTATTGGGAAGACCTGGGGAATATATATATTAGGACACGCCTGAAGTGGAGATATATATATATATATATATATCTCCACTTCAGATATATATATATATCCATTTCTTCAGATATATATATATCTCCACTTCAGGGGTGTCCTAGCCTTTTCCTTCAGGCCTTTACACTATGGCTTCAGGAATACAAGCCTGTCATATGAGAAATATAACCCATGGAGTTCACCATGGGCTTAAGCCACTTGTACAACAGCAGAGACATCATCCAGTGATGCTTCTGAACAGATATGATTTCACAATCCCTTCAACATCCAGGGAGATACACTGAGTTTACATACAGCAACGTGCTACCATGAGGGCCTCATCATGACCAAACTCACTCCTCCAACTAATCAGAGGGCAGGAAAGAGGCAGCCCTCAACCCCTGAATCTCCATCCTCAGATACTGCTAACTTGCATGGGGAAATTTATTCACAACTTTCTAGAAGGCATGGGGATCCCAGGTTGGGATTTCACCAGCTCTGTCTGCTTGTCTGTGTTCATGCAAATCTTTCCTCTAGTTGAGAAACAAGAGTGAGAAGAGAGGGAAGTAGATGAATGTCTGATGGAAAAGCATAAATATGGAGCAAAGAAATAGACAGAGAGTTACCATGAATTGCATTCAGAGTTTTATTCTTGCCAAAGTCTGGGGATTGCGCTAACCCTGGCAGGTTGCCTTGATAAAGAAGCAAAGCATAGAGGTGAAGTGATGAGGTTCTGCATGACTATGAACACAAGAGAGGGGTCCAGAGACTGGCGAATATTCCAGAAGGTGTGGCAGGGCAGTGAATTCTAGAGAGAGTTGTTCTTCTGTGTTTAGCAGCAGCAGTCGTCCTCATAGTCACAGCATGCAGGACCTCGGGACCTCATGGGGATAATTCCCAAGCAGCAGCACCCAGAGTCACAGCACCCAGAGCTGCCACAGCACCCACAGCTGCAGCACCCGGAACTCTCACAGCAGCCAGATGATCCCGTGTTGCAATACTGGGGCCTCTGGACCCAGCGTCTCAGGGGGCTCACCCCGAAGGTCCGGGGAGCCAGACAGCAGTAGCTGGTAGAAACTGGAGCAGAGCATGGATCAGGGGCACAGTACTGGGAGGCTGAGCCACTTGCAGGAGCTTGAACTGAGTAAGTCTGGCAAGGAGAAGGGCACTGGACATAGCACTTCTGGGTCTGGCAGGGTGCTGGACATTTAACGTAGGTTGTCTGGCACGGAGCTGGGCACTTCACATATGTCTGGCAGGGAGTTGGGCATTTCACATAGGTCATCTGGCATGGAACTGGGCACTTCACGTATGTCTGGCAGGGTGTTGGGCATTTCACGTAGGTCTTAGTCTGGCAGGGAGCCGGGCACTTCACATAGGTTTGAGTCTGGCATGGAACCTGGCACTTCACATAGGTTTGAGTGGGGCATGGATCAGGACCGGTCACACAGACAGCTTTGGTCTGGCATGGAGCTGGGCACTTCACAGAGGCACCTTGGATACTTTGCCCAAGTCCCACTCCCGAACCTTTTACACAAGATGGAGGGAACTGTGCCTGCTTCTGCTGGTCACACATCTTTTTCTGTGGATTGCAAGATCTGAAAAGGAAAGTTTCATACAAACTGTGAAACTAGGAAGATTCCCAGGCAAACCTTCAGCATCCCCTGTGCATAAAGTGATCTGAAAGCAGTGACCCTTGTGAGAAGTCCACAGACACCCAGAGGCTGTACACCTGGCAGTAGGTGAACTCCGAGCCAGACTCTAGATTTAGCTCCTGTGCCTTTACCTGGCTATGTGGCTTTGCACAAGTCAGTGCTCATCTCTGTGCCTCAGTCTCCATCAAGGAGAATGAAGGACTTGAAAGAGTGATGCCTGCCTTTCTACCCAGCTCTCCCAACCTTCTCTTGTCTTTCTCATTTCAATGTCTGCATTGTGAATTATCTTTGGGAAATTGCTGTCCCCCAGCTGATTGCCCCTTGCCATCAGTTCTCTCTTGGGTGACTTTTCTTCTTCCTCCTGCCTATCCAGGGAGTAGCCAGGGAAGGCAAATTTATGTTAATAAGTCCTGAGTCAACACAAGTCTCAAGCTGTCCCTGACAGGGAGCAAAGAACAAGGCCAAACTTGAGCAAGTTTCCGCCATTTGCTCCTTGAACCAGTTAGAACTTTATCTCATTATCACATGGACAACTGCATTCAGAGAAGGGAATGGGGAGCCAGTTCTCTGAAGTCCCAGTTCAGCTTCCCCTTGTCTCTCTCCCCTTGGGTCCCAGGTCCTGAGCTTCCCACCAGCACTGCCATTCTTCAAGGGATATCCCCAGCACCTAGTCCTCGCTTACCCTTCAGCCCACAGCTCTTCAAGATACTGTTCCTTGTCATGTCCCCATTCAATTCAGAGACTTACCCTCTTTGCTGACAGGAACAAGACTGGAAGAAGCCAGTGATCTGAGTAACTGGCAGTTGAGGAGACTTTTTATAGGGCAGCAGTGAGGCAATTTAATGGAATCTAAATGAAGCGCCAGTGATCACGAGGACAAGGGTTGGTGTTGCATTGGCAAGATTCCTCCACAGTATGCCTGACTCTTCAGTCAGAGGCAGGGCATGTCTATGCTTGTCATTGGGTTTTTCCCAAACACCGGATAAATGATTTCAATTGCCTTCCTCAGGAAACAAGCCATTCTCTTTTTCCTAGAAGTTATGAGTGACGCCTATGCAATCTGACTCTCATTAAGCTGTTTCTGGGTCACTTGCGTCTTCAAAGACTTGTCCAAGAACTGGCTAGAGTCTCAATTTTTCTTGCATGTGTCAAAAGCTATACTGTGTCTTCTCAGCCTAAATTGAATGTTCTTTCTGTGGGCTTCCACGGTGGCTTCTTCTGGTCTGTGTTGCTGGGCACAGAGTTTCTCTGGCTCTATATGGCAGCAAGGTCCCCCCAAAATGGTTTGTTTCATGGGCCATCAGGTGATTCTAAGTTCATTTGGAAAATTGGTGGGTACTCGATGATCCCAGACCCTAAAATTCAAGTGTAAACTATCTCCCTTTAGCCTTCTCATGATCTGTGAACCCTTTATCCTCAACTTTTGGAACTTCATTATCAGGATTTGATTCCAAAGAACCCTGGGTAGGGGGAATTCAAGCCAGATGATCTTATGCTTAGTTGAGCACTTTCTATGTGCCAAATAATTCAAAAGGCAGGTACATTTACAAATGGTGACAACAAAGGCCCTGAAAGATTAAGGGAGTTATGCATCATCACAAAGCAGGTAAATAGGGAAGTCAGAACTCAGATGCAGGCAGTCTGCTTTCATAGACCATGAATTTTATTCCTACAGAATGTTATATTTTATTTCTGAGCATTGTACTTGAATTCCTGCCTTCTTTCCTTTCCCTAATGCAGTAGATGTATAAAGAGAGACAGGGATATTACTATGTGCTGAATACTGTCCTAGCTTCTTGTGTCATTTCATTTGATCTTGAAATAACCCTGTGAGACAGATAGGCTTCATTGGCCCAATTTTTACAGAAGAGAAAACTGAGATCCAGAGGTCTGACTTCACCCCAGAAGTAATGGAACATCATCTGAGCCCAAATCTGTCTAGTTTCGGAGTCCATGCTCTTCTCACTGAGCCATGTTGGTTTGTCCACTGGAGAGGATTATACTGAGCCTGCAACTAACACTAGTTCCAAATATAGCTCTCTCAGAGCAGCCAGTCCAATCTCCAACCCCCATAACCCCTGTGACCTCTCAGATAAATTATGCTACTATATTTGTGCATAATGGATCTTCACATTCCCCAGGACCCATAAGCCCTAAGATTCCCAAAATTTTTATACAAAAAAAAATGCAGCCGGGCGCAGTGACTCAAGCCTATAATCCCAGCACTTTGGGAGGCTGAGGCGAGAGGATTGCTTGAGCCCACGGGTTCGAGACCAGCCTGGGCAACATGGTGAGACCTCGTCTTTACAATAAATCAAAAAATTAGCTGGGTATGATAGCATGTGTCTGTAGTTCCGGCTACTTGGAAGGCTGAGTCAGAAGTATTGCCTGAGCCCAGCAGGTCAAGGCTGTGGTGGCTGGGAGCATACCACTGCATTCCAGCCCGGGCTACAGAGTGAGACACCAACTCACAACAAAAAAAACAAAGCCCACTAGTTCACAGACCTTCTTCCACCCCAAGCCAGACCATGCAAGATCTTCCCCTGAACATTTTTTTAAATCTCTCCAACCCCATACCCTAACAACCCAAGGCTCTCGTAACTACCATTCTGCCTTCTGTTTCTTTGAGATCAACTTTTCTAGATTTCACATATTGTGAGATCATGTGTATGGCTTTATATGCCTGACTTATTTCATTTACCATAATATCTTCCTGTTTCGTCTATCTTGTCACAAATGATAGAATTTCCTTCTTTTTATGACTGAATATTATTCCTTGTATACATAAACCACATTTTCTTTATTCATTTATTTGCTGATGAACATTTAGGTTGATTCTATTTTTGACTGTTGTGAATAGTGCTGCAATAAACATGAGATACAGATATCTCTTTGACATACTGGTTTTAATTTTTTTGGATTTATACCCAGTAGTGAGACTGTTGGATTATGTGATAGTTCTATTTTTAATTTGTGAGGAGCCTCCATACTCTTTTCAACAATGGCTATACTATTAATAATTTACATTTCTACCAACAGTGTGTAAAGTTTCCTTTTTCTTCACATTCTTGTTAATACTTAACTTTAATCTTTTTTATTTCACTTAACATAATGACCTCCAGTTCCATCCATCCTGGTGCAAATGATAGGATTTTATTCCTTCTGATGGCTGAATAGTATTCAGTTGTGTTTATATGTACATTTTATTTGTCAATTCATTCACTGATGGATATTTATTTAGGTTGATTCCACATGCTTGCTATTGTGAATAGTGCTGCAATAAACATGGTAGTGCAGATATCCCTTTGATATACTGATTTATTTCCTTTAGACAAATACTCAGCAGTGGGATTTCTGGATCATGTAGTAGTTCTAGTTTTATGCCCAGCAACTCAGACTGGCAGAAGCCACTGTGGAAACCCACAGAAAGAACATTCAATTTAGGCTGGGAAGACACAGTATAGTTTTTAGGACATGTATGAAAAGTTGAGACTCTTATCATCTCTTGGATGAGTCATTGAAGACTCAAGTGATCCATATAGAAATGCATACTGTCTTTCATAATAGCTGTGTTAACTTACATTCCCACTAACAGTGTATGAATTCCCTTTTCTCTGCCTCCTGCCAGCATTTGTTATTATTTTTAAAAATAATTATTCTAACAGGACTGAGGTAATATCTCACTATGATGTTTGATCTGCATTTCCATGATTTTGAGCACTTATACATGTGGGTTATTTGTATGTCTTCTTTTGAGAAATGTTGATTTAGATCTGTAACATATGCCGAGAAGGAAGAGATGAGCTGCTGGTAGTTAAAAAGTTTTATTAAAGAAACGAAAAGAAGAGGGGCCGGGTGCTCTGTAGAGAGAAACCAGCAGCCTTTGTTCTCTTGTGGGCCTTTATATAACCGAGTTCAGGTTAACTGGGGAGTTCAGCTTAATTGGGCGCTGAGAAACAATTTCAGGGAGTTTTGGCTTGGGTGTCAAGAAGCAGTTTTGGGAATTTGAGTGGTCAGTTGTCTGACTTTCAAATGCTGGTCCTATGGCCTTGAAAGGCAGATGTCTGCATTAAACCAGTCATTAGCAGGGATGTTGTTAATCACTTGTCTCTGAAGTGCAACCTTAGGAAAGCAAACACCGACAGTCAGTACCAGGACATTATCAGTCACGTAGCTTTGGGATGCGAGAAAGCAGATATTGGCAGCAAAGCAATTAGTAACAGGATGCTGTTAGAGCACAGTGTTAGCTTTTTGGGCCATTGCAACTCTGTACTCCGTTTGCGAGGTTTATATGATGAGTTGTTTTAACTACAACCTCCTCTCCCAGCCCCCTACACACCCTATCAAGATCCTTTGCCCATTTTTAATTGGGTTATTTGTTTTCTTGCTATTGAGTTGCTACAGTTCCTTTTACATTTTGGATATTAGCCCCTTATCAGATGCATAGTTGGAAAATATTTTATACCATTCTGTAGATTGTTTCTTCCCTCTGTTGATTGTTTCCTTTGCTGTGCAGAAGCTTTTTAGCTTCACGTAATTCTATTTGTTTAGTTTTGTTTTTGCTGCCTATGCGTTTGAGGTCAGATTTTTAAAAAAATTATTGCCCGAACCAATGTCATGAAGAGTTTCTTCTATTTTTCTTCTAATAGTTTTACAATTTATGATCTTATATTTACTCTTTTAATCCATTTTGAGTTGATTTTTTATATAGTTTGAGATAACGGTCTTATTTCGTTCTTCTTCGTGTGAATATTCAATTGTCCCAACACCATTTATTGATACCTAGGCTTGATGTTTTGTGAAGGGGAGGGGAAACTAAACATTTCTTATTGTGTTCAGACACTTCACATGAGAAAATTCATCAAATTTGGTTCTTACAAAAGTGTTCTAAGCAAACAAACAAATAATTTGCCTAATTTCA